AATTGAAATTCACACGCTTTACTAAACCAGACTTTAACGTCAGTGTATAAAATTGAAAATCATATAACGTTGATACTCGTATTGGCATTGTTCCAGCCAATAAGCGTAATGAATATTTGACTGGGTGATTGTGCGAAATGTGTTATTAAGGGCTGTGAATAAGAATTAAGTAGAATTAGTTGTCTCCTCAAGCTACTGGACTGGAAAGTTATGTTAAATGTCCATGTCACACCTATGCCGGTAGTTGTGGGGAGCACTATGCTCGAAGTTGTTGACGAGTACGTTTACCTGGGACAAATAGTCCGACTAGGTAAGTCCAACTTCGACCGAGAGGTCAATCGACGGATTCAACTCGGCTGGGCAGCGTTCGGGAAATTACGACACATCTTCTCGTCAGGTATACCTCAATCTCTGAAAACTAAAGTGTACAACCAGTGCGTGTTGCCAGTGATGACTTACGGATCAGAGACGTGGTCCTTCACTGCTGGCCGTATGAGGACGCTCAAGGTCGCTCAGCGAGCTATGTAGAGGGCTATGCTCGGAGTTTCTCTGCGTGATAGACTCAGAAATGAGGATATCCGCAGTAAAACCAGAGTGACCGACATAGCCCAACGGATTAGTAAACTGAAGTGGCAATGGGCCGGCCATATAGCTCGAAGAATCGATAACCGATGGGGAAGAAAGGTTCTCGAGTGGCAGTCTCGTACCGATAGGCGTAGTGTATGGCGACACCCCACTAGATGGAGTGACGACCTGGTAAGACATGCAGGAAGTCGATGGATGCAGGTGGCTCAGGACCGTGCTTTGTGGCATTACTTGGGGGAGGCCTATGTTCAGTAGTGGACTTGTGAAGGGCTGTAATGATGATGATGATGATGAGTTGTCTCCTCTAACAGTAGCCAAGGAATTATATGAGATAGTGGATATCCTTTCACTGCCACTACACTTCGATACATCGACAGTCAAATTGACACACAAGGCAAAGTGGCAGAATGTACTCTTACAAAATGACAAAACGGCCCCCCACTAGATAGAGTGCTGGAAGCACATGCAGTAAGTCAAAGGACGCAGTTGGCTTTGCGCGGTGCTTTATGGTTTTCTTTGGGGAGGCTATATGTTCAGCAGTGGTTTTGTGAAGGGCTGTAATGATGATGACAGCCACCTAAAGGCAAGGCAAATCTTTGGCTCTCTGCTATTTAGTCTCGAGAGAAAAATGTCCGCGAGTGCAAATAATAATTAAAAAATAAATAAAACAGCCATCCATGATTATAAATTCATTCACTATTTATACAATTTTAGAAAGACAATGGAACTTACAGTCTACGTGATGGTAGGTGGTTGCTGCAATTCATGGTCCAATAAACTTTTGTTATAGAATAAGGGATTAAGAATCAGAATGCAGATGCGTTGTCATCCCTGAACACTAAGATGGAATCCCTCGTTTCCAGTAACAAGGGTCTCCGGTTCTCTACACTCACCATAGGAAATATAGCAGAATTAAGCTGCTATTTTACTTTGCGAGCTTTATTCTTCAAGCTGCCCATTCATGCTCAATTATAATGCACAATTATAATATAGATGCAACGTGAATCTACCACGTGAGGTTTTAATCAAACGAGCACACCGTCCACCTGATGACGAGTGGGTGCTGTGGCCCATAAAACTATACAACTAATCATCGATCAAAAGTCAAAATGCAAATGCATTGTCGCCCTTGCAGAATAACATAAAATATCTCGTTACAAGTAATAGAGGTCTCTAGTTCTCTACAATCAACTAACTTCACTTTTATTTAAAGAAACAGATAGATACAGAGATACTGTGTGCTCTTACATTTCCATCGTAATAGACAATTTAACTTTTAATAAATAAGAGAAACCGACTTCAAGGAACTAAAAATAATAAAATAATCTGTATTAAATAGCTAACAAAGTCGGTGCTTACGGTGCAGTGTGTAGAAGAATTAAGATCCCGACTTCAGAAGCTGTCGTGTAAAGATTATTTTAGTATCTTTAGTTCGTTGAAGTCTTACTTTTCATTAGGTAAATGGAAAATGTTTTTTGAGTGGTCTATTTTGCTTACTTTAGGGGCGGTTTTTTTCTCAAAATATATAGGAGATCACTACTAAAGTTTAACCTATACAATAACAAGTGGTAAAGTAAAAAAAATTATACAACCGTCTTCAATATATATAAAATGAGAATATTATCAATGTAGTCGTAGTCAATTAAATACACATTATTAAAGATAACTTCACAACTACTGGTCAGATCTTGATCAAAATTATATGAGACACGCACGAAAAGCACTAGCTTTAGAATAAAACAATAATCATACAAATCGGTTCACCTAGGAAACAGTTCTGAGGTATCACACATAAACATACAGTCGAATTTAGTACCTCCTATTTTTAGAAGTCGGCTAAAAAAGAATCATCACAATAGTTTCACAATTGACGATGATATTTCTTAAGGGGAAATATAACCTCAAATGGCTTAGCAAGATCCACCGTTATGCCGAAAGTATTGCAGAATTAATTTTGAAATAAATATAAGGTCGAGTCTTGTATTTGCAACTAAAAATATTGGAGGCCTTACGTTTCCGGTTGATAATTCTATATTCATAAGCAAAATACATTTTTTTAAATATTCGGTATTAAGTAAATTTTATGTAGATTTATATCATCGTCATAAATAAAGAAAAGCTGTAAATAAAAAAATCTATTAAATAAATTTCTGACACAGGCACAAATAGTTGCAATTACCCGCCAGGACGGGTAATTGCATAATAAATAACTTATTACTTTTTTACTTTTTTTCTGTGGGTACAGCTACCGTTATATTGAAAAATATACCTTGTTCAATATTTCATAATATTTTGATATCTATGCCCTAGTAATAACGTTAAATTTTGCTCAAAATCAATTTTTAGACATGGGTCCGGTAATTGCAACTATTTACCTACAAATAGTGTTGAGAACATTGTTGTGGTTTTATCGACTGGCATGGAAACAAAATTAAAAGTCAGGAATACAGTTTTATCGATGTTTATATTGAGCTTAATCAAAGGACGACATCGTACATTAATAATTATTTAAATTGAAGTAATTTAAAATACTTCTAAGGTATAATTACAATAGGTAATCTTTTAGTAATCAAACAGCCATTTTTACTTATCTTTGCAAAAAAAAAACAGTCTTATCTCATAGACCTTTTTAAATACTATCCAAAATATTTGCATATTAAAAAAAGTAGTAAAATGAAATAGGAAATCATTTACATTCAAATACCTCTACTTTAAAAGGAAATATGACTGTGTCTTTTTGTTTATTTAACACGGCATTGGGCAAATATGAAATCACATCTTCTATATCAATTATGGAAATGTCGTTTTCAACGAACTTGAATTCTCTATTATCTTTTATATATTTGAGTCCTTTGACTACAATTTTTTCTTGGTTAATATTCTCAATAAAACAAACGTATTTATACGTCCTTTTGCCTTTAGTCGACCAAAATCCAGCCAAAATGAAGTCACCCACGTCGAGATCTTTTTTTTTACCTTAGATGCTTGTGGCTGTGGCATTTTATTCTAAAAATAAAATCAAATTGTTATCCTTCCTGTACTACTATATTATAAATTAGAAAGTTTATGATAATGTGTACTTACTTCTTTTTGTGTAAATATTTTCTTCTTGGTAGTGTAAGTCTTTCTTTCCTTCACTCTTTCGCTTTTTATTTTAGGTGTCTTTTCTTTTTGTCTTTTAGAAGTAGATGGTAACGGATCATCAAAATCTTCGTCAAACCTTTCTTCCAAAACAGTAGAATGTTCATATAAACTACCCGCCTTCTGAAAATTTGTACTTATTTTATTAACATAGAACATAGATTTCCCACGATCTTATGCCCCGGGTGTACCTATATCACTTAATAATATTAATAACTACCCTGAATCACTTACTTCATTCCGCCTTAATGTTTTTTGGTTAATATTTCCAATATGGACCATCGATTTCAAAGCCCATATTTTTTTTGTAGATAGTACTCACTAAAAAGAAAGCGTTTTGCGTAGTTTTAGGTTGCGGACACTTACGGTTCATGAGAATTATTTTTTTTAAACTTTTCATACAAATTGTTTTTTTTTTTTTGCGCCCGAAGCAATTTAAAGGGCTACCCTATACGTAGGGAGGCGGAAAATGCATTACGCATACCACGATAGCCGGTCTATCGTGGTTATGAGGGGCTCACTGTCCTACCGGGGACCCTAAGTGATACCCTCTAAAAACCGCCTTTGGGGACAGGCAACCGGCTGATTAAGCTCTATTGTGCCTAATCATGAGCGACCCTCTTTTGGGAAAAGAGGGCGCAGGCGGCTAAGTGCCGCTGAGGGAGTGCCTACGAAGGCAATTTAATGTTAGTTATTACAATAATTTTATTTAATTAGAGTTGGCGGGCATACAAATTGGCAAATAACACGTTTATATACTATTACACCAATTACAAAATAAATTTGACAAATGATTAATGTCAAACGCTGCCACGGAGCGCCGGAGCACAACTTCCCGGCTTCTTACCCCCCTAGTCTCCAAAATTAACGAAATGTACTCGATACCAAGTAGTATTGATACTTTTGATACGATACTTGGTATCGAGTAGGTATCTATACTTTCAAAATATTCGGAACCCTACACTAACTGACATTTGACATCAATTATTTGTCAAATTTATTTTGTAATTGCGTGTTATTTACCAATTTGTATGAAAAGTTTAAAAAATATATCTCATGAACCGTAAGTTTCCGCAACCTAAAACTTTGCAAAACGCTTTCTTTTAGTGAGTACTATCTACAAAAAAAATATGGGCTTTGAAATCGATGGTCCATATTGGAAATATTAGCCTGTTTTTTTCTGCCCTTTATTCAATCTTTCACTTTTTATTCTAGGTCTATTTTCTTCTTGTCCTTGTCTAGTAGATAATGGTAATGGCTCCTGCAAATCTTCATCAATGCTTTCTTCCAAAATATTTTGAAAAAAAAACTTCAGGTTCTTCATCTTCTGAAGAATTCATTGAAGTATATGAACAATCACTCTCACTGTCTGAGTCTAAGGTCTTTTTCCTTTTATTTTTCTTTGCTTTGGGCTTATTTATCAGTAGTTTTTTGTTCTCGTTATAACTTGCTCTTTTCAGTCTTTTTAGCCGTTTAGTTTCTTCTGCTTTTTCCTTTTTTTCTTTCTCATTTTTCAGATGATGAAGTGCATCTTTGTAAGTTAGTATTTCACTTCCTTGACTTATCCGTTTCTTTGAAGTTTTAGGTATGTCGTTACGTGAAATAGTTTTTAATAGCAGCTCTTCGAATGAAACTCGTTCTTCTTCTTTGCTTTTATTTATTGTTGAGCTGACTACTACATTATCCAATATTTTTACTTTACAAGAACAACTGTTGGCATTGGTATTGGCATTATTAGGACGTGAAAGTATGAAAGTTTTAGGGTCCTTTACAGTCTCCCACTTTTGAAACATAACCCGAGTACCTGAGTACGTGTTCATATCAGCCTTTGTACCATTTTCTGTCGGTAGCTTTTTCTTCATATCCCGTGTAATGTTTGCAATAGCCTTATCAATTTCATCTGGCAATCGTCGTATCTCACTGTTAATTGTTTTAAGGCATACACTTATTAGTGTTGGTACTTTATGTTCTTTCTGACTGTTATCTTTCTTGGTGTGACTTCCTTCAACATTTTCTTCACCATTGTGGTCAGTATCATTACGAAGCTTGTTTTTTTTGCTGCTGGTGTTCTTTCCATCTTGACCATGCCAGACTGTCGAATTTTCTTTTTGGGATTGCATCTTTGTTTAAAGGGCATATGCCCGCTTTCCTGAAGCCGTTTTGAATGATAACAGGATTTAAATCATTCCATGTATTAGTTATGATTCTGGCTAATTCTTGTTTTGGGAGTTTTGCTCCCACATGGAGTCTTTGCCATTTCACAAGTTCGCAGTCCCATTTGTCTTTCATAGGTTTCATTGTACTACAGTCTAATGGCTGCAGTATGTGGGATGAGTGAGCCGGTAGTTTAAGAACCGTAATGTTTTCGGCAACTAGAAGGTCTATGACATTCAAATCTACATGTGTCTTATGGCCATCATAGACCAATAAGACTGGTCGTTCTGCTCCGATAGCTGGCAAAAAAACGGCTTTGATGTTCTGACGTTCTAAAATGGTGGTCTCCATCCACCCTTTTTTACTGACAGCGTAAGCTGTATGAATGTTATCATTTTTAAACAGCCACTCGCTCCACAGATGTTTCCCTTGAAATATTATTAAGGGTGGGATCTTTTTGCCAAGTGCATTCGTAGCTAAGAGTACAGTGGTGTTATTCCTCCCAGGAGAGCCTGTCGTTCTAGTAGAGGGAAACCCCATCAGACCCACAACTTTAGTTTTGGTGGGGTCACTACAAAAGCTGGTTTCATCCAAATTATATATACATTGCGGTTTGTCAGCTAAACCACACTCTTGTATTGTTCCTTGTAACATATCGAAATAATCGTTAACTATGAAAGGATCACATGCTTTTTTTCGAGCTATTTCTAAAGACTGCGGCTTTTTTAAACTTAATTTGTTTCGTTTTTTAAATCCTCTAAACCATTCCTTCCCGGGATAGTTATCTTTAAATCTCGTAACGATTCCGTTCCTTCGAATATAATCAGATACCGATATTATTACTTCCTTGGAGGTTAATGGATACCCACATTTTTCCATCACATGGAGATTAGAAGCTACTTTAGTTTCCCACTCTTTTGACAATTCAGTAGGTCTGCCAGGTGTTGGCTGTTTGGCACCGCGTGTTCCGTATAAACGGTGAATAATGGTTGACCTTGGTATTCCGTATTTTACGGAGGTTTGGTAGCTATTAATTTTTTTTTGTCGTACGTTTTCGACGGCTTCTATTAGATCAGCTAATGAATACTTCGTCTCTTTTATTCGTTTATATTTTGGCATCTACAAAATAAAATAAAAAGATACTCAAAAACTAGAAAACAGGTCATAGAGGTAAAACGATATTGTTTGGTAGTACAGTAGTACAGACGCCAGCACATCAAGCTACTACAATTTGTCAGATTTCTTTGATAGATTTTCGACTTTATTTCTAGAGCATTAGCTTCAAGGTTCATTGGGAAAATCGTCTGTACATCAAATAAAATAAGGTGACCTAAATGCCAGGATTCCACTTATCAAATACTGAGATAAACTGAAAATCAATCATTTATTATTCACTACTACCTAGTAAATCAGAATTTTAATATTTGACTCAAACAGCGACACTAGCGCCAATAGTTTCGAATATATAAACGAACTATTCAACTACTGCTTTGTAGTTATTTTCACTGTTGCATCACTAGCATTATTATACTCCATATAAAAGCGGTCAGATAAATGCAACTAACCTAAAAATTAAAAATAGTTGCAATAACCTGACTTTTGATTTTTAGTCTGGTAAATGTAACTGAACCCATAAGTTGGGCTAGATTTATGGTGGAATGAAACAAATACGTAAAAAACAACTTACCGTAGTAGATAATCACTTTATTTATAAAGAAACCTACCAAAAACCACAAAAACACAGATTTAAATAACTATTGCGCTCCGCGTTTACGCCGCGTCACTCCGAACAAAATAGCAGTTTGACAAAAAGTCATGTCATTTACACAGTTCAATAGATATCAACGCCATCTTAATCTTTTCATTGGAACTTAGGATAGAAGAACAATATTACGGCTGTCGTTCGAAATAGTGATGATAGATGGAGTTATTTCAATTAGTTGCAATAACCATATAGTTGCAATTACAAGACTCGACCTTATGGTAAAGTTGAGGATTAATGTTAAGGACTATGTTAGACGAAAACACGATTCCGTAAAATTTTCTCGATAGAAAAAAAATCCAAAGTTACCTCCAAACTGAACAATAAACCGCTGTTATTCATAAAATACTTTAAATAAGATCGTGAAACTTTGCATACTAACTGAACTAACGTTATTTACTTTTTTTAAATACCATTATTTTCACTGTAAAAAGAAATTACCTAAACTATCGGCGTCTTGAAACTTGATTCCTGTCGCCCCGTCCCGTTAGTATCGCTTAGGCTTTTGAAGGGAGAAGTTGTATCGCTTACGATCAGAATACACATTACGCAACAGGACGACGTAAAATTAAAATGGGAAATAACCGTGATAAAAACAGCGAAGCGACTGGGTTGGCGTTAAGAAACAGGCATAAATATGATAAACCTAAAGAAATAAGTATCTAACGACCTATCTACTTACAGTATTAGTGATTACAAACATGTCGGTACGTAGCAAACGAAGCGCGAGGAAGTGGGGGCGAAATTAGAATTTGAGCTGACTTGATTAAAACTACTTTTACGGATTTTATCGCGGGGGAGTCCCCCCGTGACCATGGGTGCTGGAAAGCGCCCGAAACGTCGGGAATTAAAAATAAAAGTAAATAAAAAGTAAAAATAAACGCGATAAAATCCGTAAAAAGTAGTTTTAATCATGTATAGTGTTCGCGTAAATATAAGAAATCATTGAACTGTCTTACTATATCCCCTTAATATACATACAAAAACATAACGTCGAAATGTAAACAAGGTGTTTATAGTAGTTTATATAAGGCCTTTTTTCAGTCTGCTAAAAACACCAAAATAACTATTTCGTGATGCAGTATTGGACCGTTAAGTCCCTTTGTGTGACTAATTTTCTATTATTCAACTAAATAGACGTGTGAAACTTTAGGCCGATATTAAATAAATAATCTCAACCGTAAGTTGTACGCAAGCTGTGCAACTTGAAAAGAGAAACTGATAGACTTTGATCACAATAGGTTCGACACAAAGTTTTATAATGCTAAAATAACATCTAAAATAACAAACAGCACACAACAACCAGCTTTCTTGCAGATCGGTTGTAGACGGTGCAAGCTCCGATTATAAGCCTATTAATGCTGGTATTCCACAAGGCTGCGTGCTTTCACCGACGCTGTTTCTTCTGCGTATCAATGATGTGTTGCAAACCTGCAACATTCATTGCATTATGCAGATGACAGCACTGGTGATGCTCTGTACACCGGCCGTGCCAATATTTCTCGGGAAGATGTCTCCGAGTACCGGGACAAACTTGTGTCTAAAATCGAGTCTTTCCTGAACAAAATCTCGGATTGGGGGCGATTAAATCTAGTCCAGTTTAACTATCAGGAGACATAAGTTTGCGCGTTTACCGCTAAAAACCCATTTGTCGTATCTTCTCAGTTTCAAGGCACTCCTCTTGTTGCCTCAGCCAGTATCGGAATGCTCGGCGTCAACATATCGGATGACGTGCAGTTTCATGATCACTTGAAAGAAAAGACCAAATTGGCCTCTAAAAAGCTGGGCGTGCTCAGTAGAGTGGGACAGTATTTGATACCGGCTCACCACCTGCAAATTTACAAGGTGCAGGTTCGACTGCACATAGAATACTTTTCCCATCTCCGGGCTGGGTCTCCCCAGTGCCAGCTCCTTCCACTTGACCGCATCCAGCCCATAGCGGCTCGAATCGTCGACGACGTGCTTTCCGATCGGCTCGATTCACTGGCACTGCGAAGAGATGTTGCATCTCTTTGTATTTTCTTTCGCATATACCATGGAGAGTGCTCTGAGGAATTGTTCGGATTAATCCCAGCCGCCAAATTTCGTGAACGCACTACGCGGCAAACGTCCCGATACCATCCACATCATCTGGATGCTTGGCGGTCCACCACTGTACGTTTCTAGAGGAGTTTTCTTCCGCGAACGACCTCTCTGTGGAATAGTTTACCACCGGCGATTTTTCCGGACCGATACGACCTGGGGACCTTCAAGAAAAGAGCTTACTCCTTTCTAAAAGGCCGGCAACGCACCTGCAATTCCCCTGGTGTTGCGGTTGTTCATGGGCTGTGGTAGTCACTTAACATCAGGTGAACCGTATGCTCATTTGCCCCCTCTTCTATAAAAAAAAACCATAGTTTCATACCCGAAACATCTGACACCAGATAGTATTTTAAATAATTTTTAAATTTGAAATAATTTTAAACTCTTAATTACGAACCTTTTTTGAGCTTGTTATATGCCAGTACTTGACTACAATCCCACCAGATGGTAGCTTGTGATTAAACGCTAGATAGTAAATCGCCATACCTTAGTGTAACAAAATATATTTACTCTTGCCTTGAAAAACGCAGATAGTAATTGGACGGAAAGACAGACAAATTGTTAGAAATGGCCGAATATTCGTTTTATTTTCGGTATTTGGCATATTCGACAATAAGCATACAACTGCAAGACAGGAACAAAAATTAATCATTTTAATCTATGGTAAACGCGGTTAACTATGACATCTAGACGTTGAATATCTCAGTCTCCTCCGTGACCATGGGTGCTGTAAAGTGCTTGAAACGTCGGGTATTTAAAAAGTTAAGTATACGCGATAAAATCCGTAAAAACTAGTATTATTTAAATGTTCGCGTAAATATAAGAAATAGTTACTAAAATGTATTCTTAAAATTCAAAAAACCATTATCCCAGATTCCAAAATCTTAAGTGAGCGTAATCCCTATTCCGTCGTTTCCTACCCCACTGTTAAAACAAAATTTGCTCGTACAAATTTTAATTCCCAATCTCACATATTATATAATAAATTAAATGGGAAACTCAAGTTTTACAGCAAATATTACTTTGAGTGTAAAAAATCGATTACTTCTTGGTTGAAACAGCTTCACTATAACAGTACTAAATCATTACTTACACACAACACGTAACATACGTGTGTTCGTATGAAGTATATATTCATTTATCTTATTATATTACATTTACTATTTTATTTTCTATTGAAAAACAAATACACACACACACACACACACATACACACACACACACACACACACACACACACACACACACACGCATGCACGCACGCACGCACACACGCACGAACGCACGCACGCACGCACGCACGCACGCACGCACGCACGCACGAACGCACGCATGCACGCAAGCACGCACGCACGCTCGCACGACGCACGCACGCACGCACGCACGCACGCACGCACGCACGCACGCACGCACGCACGCACGCACGCAGGCACGCACGCCCGAACGACCGACCGCCCGCCCGCCCGCCCGCACGCACACACGCACGCACGCACGCACGCACGCACGCATGCACAGCTATTATAATTATTGTTACTTATGTCTGTTGATTTATATTTATGTAAGACAAATATACTTATCATGGCTTACTGATTAAAGGAAGACCGGACTCATCCTAAAACAGGTTTTTAAAACTTAAAAGGGTGAGAGATCCATATCTAACTCTTTAAATAAGACTTGTGTTATGAATAAATATTTTTGTATTTTGTCCCACCTCCTTGCCCCTGCCCCTGGCCGATACTAGCGGAGGGCTTCAAACCGAGGCGAGATCAGCGCCTTGGGTCTCAGTCACTCCTACTGATGACGTCTCACCTCTCAAGGTGTGGTTCGAGAAGTGGAGTTGTGCAGTTCAGGCTCCACTGTCGTGTCAGAGCCGCACCTGATCTTAAAAGTTATCATATTAAGACCAAGGACGACCCTGCCGCCTGCCGCACGGAGAGCACGGGTTACTAGGAACCTATTCTCCTCGTCCCTACGGGGTAGGATTTTTCGAAGCTCGGTATGAAGCCCTTTATTTTGTGCCCACAGCAGCACAGCTGCCTCTTTTGGAGAGTCAGCTTCACTGCGGGGCAGATATGTAATGCCCAATTGAGGCTTAGGTAGTTTGCCCTTAGGTATTATTGAGAGCTCTGCTTCCGGCCAGGGTCTCAGCATTTTGACTTCACCCACAATCTAGTCTTGGCTTGCCTCATTCGGGCACGTTACCAGAATCCAACCTGGTTTGTAGGTGAAATCCAAAAAATTCGTTCTCGCACTTGACTGCGCGCCACAGTCTGTC